CTTCTGTAATGATAACTTGCAACTTCAACTTCGAAAGCGCATGGTTAAATGCTTCATTTGGTCAGTCCTCTTATACGGTGTCGAAGCATGGACATTAAAAATATCCACCATTAATCGTCTGGAGGACTTTGAAATGTGGCTGCACAGACGTATACTAAAAATTCCATGACGTATACTAAATAGCTCGAGACAGAGACAGTTTCGCCATGTTAATAGCCACCGTCAACGGGACTTGATAGGGCGCGTTAAGAAGAAGAAGACCAGCATTTCTGTGTCTGATTGACATAAAGAAAGCGTTTGACAGAGTAGGACTCAAACATATAATTCATCTTCTGTATAGTAGAGAAGTCCCCCTGAATATTATAAAATCTATCGGAAACATCTACCAAAACAACAAAATGGAAATCAGAATAGATGGATAACTTACAGAACCTATAGAAATAGGCAGCGAAATAAGACAAGGGGATTCATTAAGCCCCATGCTCTTCAATGTGATCACGGATGAAATAATCAAAAGTGTTAACAAAGAAAGAGGATACAGAATGGGAAACAAAGAAATAAAAACACTCTGTTACGCAGACGACGCATTATTGATAGCCCAGATGAAGATAGTCTGCAAAGACTGGTCTACAGATTTAACATACGAGCAAAAGAATTTAATGTAACAATCTCATCTCAGAAAACTAAAACAATAGTAATCAGCAAAGAATAAAACCAGATGTAACATAGAAATTGATGGCATCAGTATTGAACACGCAATGGAAATAAAATACCTGGGAATTACACTGTCTAGCTATGGAGACCTGGACAAAGAAGTGAAAGATCAAAGCTGCAGTACAAATAGCAAATAGACTGCTAAGATGCCTTAATAACACTATATGGCGACAGACGCATAACAGACACAATAACACTGAAATGAAGTCAATAATGTATAAAACTAGTGTAAGACCAATAATGGCATATCGTCGCTGATACTGCAATAGGTTGTATGTCAAAATTATTCACTTTTGTGTTTTTGTTAATTCAAAAAAGAAATATACTAGTACTATAAAGTTAGAAAGATTCCTGGCACTCAGGAATCAAAAGAGCTGATTCAAGCTTATTTAAAAGACGTTAAAGAGTTTCTTTCAAATTTACCACACTTAGAGTCTCATAACTACTGTAGAGCTTTAACTAGAAAACTGTATTTACAACCAGTATGGGATAACCACAGACGACACAAGAAAAGTCTCGGGAATCAGGCAAAAATACAGCATAATGGACCACTTTTTTCAAAGTACTCAAAAAGCTAAATTTAGAAATATTAAAACCAAAGAAAGATCAGTGCAATACATGTTCAGGGTATAAGAATGTATCCATATTGGAAGAAGTTTACCAGTCTTACTTTACTTAGGAGTTTACTCACCTACTTAGGAAATCGGAAGCTCGACAAGAAAAAGAAAATGACACAACCGAGTACCAAGAAAGTAAGAATATTTTAGTTTTTGCAGTAGATCTTCAAGCAGTGCTTTCAGCTACTCGGTTAAATACTGCACAAACTACTACAAAACAAAGTTAAAGGTGCATAACTGGACCTACTATGACCTTAGAATTAAGACAATTACCTGCTTTGTATGATTAATGAACAGTGTCTTACAAAAATCATTTGGAGCGATGGCTGTTGCTATCAAAATAGAAACATCAAATTATCCAACGCCTTACTCAATATTTTCCAAAAGTATTCAGATGCATTCAGAGCAGAAATATCTGGAAGTAGGTCCATATCCAAATGGTGTTAGACTCAGTACATAGTCCAATAGAATAAAAGTAGTTGAGACGCAGAAAATCAAATCTATCTCCCTTCTGATTATTTGCGTATTATAAGAAAAGCAAGTTATATTCCCTCTCCTTTTCAAGTAGTTGCATTGATGCACACAGATTTTTTGTTTGAAGTTTGGGTCAAATTTTTATTCTACCATCAGGCCCGGCCGTAAAACAGAAATCCAAATGGAACAATTTTGTACAAACTGCAGTTCTTAGATACTTGGGTCGACATGGCTCATCTTCAGCGTTCGATAATAACCAATGATTAATTGTCTCATCCACTGGCAGCAATGGGCTTTCTTAACAGCATTGGACGACGCCAGAGTAGATTCAAGATATGCTGCCCTCCTTAAGAATATACACGATGATGCTACTTTTTACGTAAAAATAGATGATGGTCTGGAAACTATGAAAATAGACCTTGGCAAAGGTGTGAGACAGGGCGACACCATCTCACCCAAGTTATTTACTTTGGCATTAGAAAATGTTTTCAAAAAACTAAATTGGGCCGAAAAGGGATTAAAAATAGATGGAGTATATCTTAACCATTTGCGTTTAGCAGACGACATAGTACTACATAATAAGCACAGATATCCATGAACTAAAATCAATGCTACAAGATTTAAATCACAAATCGAATCAAATAGGATTAAAAATGAATCTCGACAAAACAAAAATATTAAGCAACAGCCTAGAAAACATCACGATAGATAACATCAATATAGAAAAGGTAGAACAATATATATATATATATATATATATATATATATATATATATATATATATATATCTAGGACATGCAATTAAAAACGAAAAGGAAAATCAAACCCTAGAAATTAAAAGAAGGACACAATTGTCATGGGCTGCTTTTGGTAAGTTGAGTTTCATTTTAAAAGACAGAAAAATCCCAATTCACTTAAAACGAAAAACCTATGACACTTGTATACTACCAGTTGCAACTTATGGATTGGAAACTATGGCAATAACAAGAAAAATGGCAGAACAATTAAGAGTAACTCAACGGGCCATGGAGAGGGTCATGTTAAATATAAGCCTCAGAGACAAAATTCCTAACACCGAAATACGTCGAAGAACTAAAGTAATCGACATCTTGGGAAAAATAGCGACATTGAGATGGCAATGGGTAGCACATGTAGCAAGACAAGACACCAACAGATGGTCTCATAAAGTGACATTCTGGAGACCTGGAGAAACAAAAAGAAGCGTGGGAAGACCTAAAAAGAGATGGATAAACGATATAACTGCTGTAGCTGGAAAGCAGTGGATGAGAATTGCAAAAGATAGAGAAGCGTTGAAGCAATTGGAGGAGGCCTATGTCCAATATTGGATAAATGAAGGCTGAAGAAGAAGAATTGTCTCATCTATAGATAATAACTATTAGAAGAATTATAACTATTAATAATGTAAAACAACTACAAATTTAAAACATTTAAAGGGTTTTGACCCATATATTTTGGTGGCTACTAGCATGTACAACCGTAAGTATTAACCACATTTTGCTCTAACCTTTGTCAACATTTTAATTTAACGTTCTTTTTAATTAAAGTGGTTATATACTGTCAGGTTTGCACTGATGATGGATTTATCAATCCGAAAACGTTTTGCAATGTGTTTGTGATAGCCCGTTTGGGGCATTTTTTTATATACCTTTTATAAAGGATTTTAAACAATTTTTTGTGATATATGGTATACAGCCAGCTACAGGAACTTAGTTTCCTAGTGGAATTTTAAAAGTGTTTATTCCTGTAGATTGCAGATTATTTTATGAAAATTTGTTGCATAAATAAGCTTTAATGTTGCACTTCCATAAAGAAATATTTTTGTATTTTATGCCGTATGTTTACCTTCTATTACTTAAGAAAATAAAATATTTAGATATCATACAATTAGGTCTCGGTTCTTTATTACAATACATCGTATGTCAAAAAATGTAACCAAGCGGTAGCAAGCAAATTATCTATGTCAATACAAATGGGTTTCTAAGCACTAGTTAGTTGATATGTTAATATAACATTAATATATTTCAGCAAAAGTGTAGTTTGGCCCAAACAGCAGATCAAATATACGAAAGTTCTACAATTCATATTAATTTTTTCATTTCCTAAAAATCGTCTATTTTGACATACGACCTATTGGAGTACCAACAACGATATGCCTCAGAAACAAGACCCGACACAGTCACAACACAAAGGCTAGTGGAAACAGCAGAGATGAGAGTACTGAGAAGAATTACAGGAAATATACTGAGAGATCAAAAGAGAAGTGAAGTAGAAAATTTTCTAGAAGAAAATTTAACATACAATGCATAAATGAATTGACACAAAATAAAAAAAAAGAATGGAAAAACTACATAAGCAGAATGAAGGAGATCCGTGTCGTCAAAACAGCAAGTGCAGAAGAAGTTGCGCAAAAAATGGTTCCATAGAAGTATTAATCCGCCAATGAACAAGCAGAAATGCTTACAAAGAGGAAGAACAAGAAGAATATTTAGAATATGAAGTTCGTCATCAATTTGGCTCATAGTTTGGTCTAAATAAAATAATAATACAGAAATAAATAGTTCGTAAACCCAATTATATTAATTTAGTATATCTGAATGTCCCCCGTGAGATTTTTAGCAAAATCATTATCATAGAGATACGTGTTTCTCTATTATCTCCTCAGTGAATTTTTATTATGTAGGGATATTTAGCATACTTATTTAATTAATTGTAATCATTTATTTACACATTATCACAACTATGCGAGATACGAGTATACAGACCACAACAGCATCTAAAAATATAAATATTTCGCTTTGTTTACAATAAGTCTAATAAACTTACGTTTATGTAATATTTTATTAATATGTACATATATTTCAAATTGCATTAATATGTATGGCACTAAAAATGATAAGTGATTGAACATTTCCGTTTCTTTAAGAGTTAACCTCGATAAAATTATTTTTAGATTAATAAGTACACAGCAATTTTAAATAATACCATAATACCTATATTAGAATATTAAAACTAGAAATTATGTTCAGTAGGTACTACTTGCAGACACATCTAAGAAATGTTTTTTTGGCACACGACACAGTTTACAGTATTGATATTAAAGTAGTTGTAAACTTTATAATTGCAAACAAAATTGTTTTAATAGGTATGTTAATATAATGTAAAGTTTGTACTCACCTCTATTAAATTCAGAATAAGATGAGTGACATTCGCTCATTGAACTGATGTTAACGGTGGTGGAAGGAATTTCACTGTTTGGAGTTAACTTCATGGCCTTATTGGAGTTTTGATCAGCACAATGAGAGGAAGAAGAATAATCACAATCAGGTAAACGCCGTTTTAATGGACTTATAGGAGGACTTTGTTGCGCTAAAGGAGTAGATGCCATCTTCAATAGCTTAGTTGGAGGTTGCTCTGAATCGGAGGAATCACAGTCGATGTGTCGTTTCATGGAGGTAATTGGTGGTGGGCTGTGTTGAGTCAAAGGAATCATACCCAAGTCGTCTGGATTTGTGGAAGTGCTCCTTAACATGGCCTCGTCCTGAGCTTGTGCTCTTCTGAGCGCTGTTTGCATAGCCATAACTCGTTGTCGTTCTGTAGTTAACCTGCACTTTTCGCACTTACACATGCGATACGGACAGTAACGCTTATGTCCCTTTAGCGCAATTTTTTTCCTGTGATTCCGACACCTAGCGCAATTCGGAGGCGTTCTTGGAGTCACGGAAGTACTAGATGCGTTAACGTCCATTTTATTTTCAAATTCCTGCGAGTCTGACATTATCTAAAACATGCTAATTTAACACCAAAGTCACTGCACTCAAATACCGGTAGCTAGGCTGACCGTGAAACAAATGCAACAGGTTCGCCAGTCAACACGCGGATACGAAACGAAAATTTACCATGTAGCGGCCGACTCCTCGCGAAATCAACTGTCAGTCTTGCAACGAGCGATGTGAAGTAAGTTGCATTGGCAGTGCAGCGGGGCCAGAGGGGCAATCATTTACGACTTTAAGCGGTGGGGTAAATGCATGTGCAGGACTGCAGTTTAGAACCGTGTTTTATGCCGTAATAACGTAGGGAAGTGAGTTTTGATGACAGGTATTCAAAAGTAGTTTTGTTGCAATTCGACGAATACCAGGGGTTATATTAGCCGTTTATGATATAATACTCTGTTCTATTTGTTATATTCTCCTGCATTGTTGTTTATGACTCATAATACGTCTGTGTTGCAGTCTTTACTAAATTTTCTATAGTCGTATTTAGATATTAAATTTTAGGAATTTAATGTGTGACTGTTTATACCGTCTAGTTACACTTCTATCCTTAATTAAACAACCGTATCTAACTTTACGTCTATCAATGAACGTAAACTTATCCGCAATGTACAACCATGCAGATAGCACTTTTAATCCACATTAATGTCCGGAGAATAAAACATAGGGTAGCAAACACTATTTGCAGGATTGCAGGACCGTATTAAAATAAAAATTATTCAATTTTATTACCGTTCACAGTAATTGTTACAGATAAATCATATTATATTTAAACCTCGGTAGTTAAGTGAATACAATTATTCTTTTTTTGGCAGAAACTTTAGAATATAAGTAACTAGTAAGATATTGAAAGGACGATGCCAATAATGCCAAAAAACCTTACGGATTATATAAGATAATATATTTTAATTATAATAATAATAATTAAAATAAAGTAGTACTTCATTTATTCTCATATTTCTCATGTCTTCATCGATGTTATCAAGGAACCTTGTTTGGGTCTTCCTCTTCTTCTCTGACCAATAGTTCTATCAAGGAGCGTTTTTCTAGCTGGGTCAATTTTTTCCATCATTCCATCATTTCCATTATATGTCCTACCCACCTCAGACGTCCTATCTTCATCATTTTCATTGGCTCTACAACCCATGGTGGGTCTTGGCCTGCTCAAGGATGTCTCCATGCTCTCCTATTCTTCGCCTTGGTTTTCCAGCTTCGTACTCCCTACATTCTCAAGTCTTCCTCCACCTGATCCTTAATGCTCTGGGTCTGCCTCTCCTTCTCACTCCATCTATTCTGTGGTTATAAATATGTTTTGGCGGTTCCATCTCATTCATTCTCTCTATGTGATCTAGATAGTAGATAGATCTAGCATCTAGATAGTAGATGCAAGAACAAGCCTGAAACTCAACAACAGAGAGCACTGGATAAACTGAAAGACCCAATGATACAAGCAGAAATAAGCAATGAAATAAACGCACAAATTCAAATATTGAAGACAAACATTAACGAAGATCTAACACCAACATGGAATAACGATTACAAGTGCTGTAACAGACATCATGAAAATCAACTTAGGGTACAAACGAAATAACAAGAGGCAAAAATGGATGACAGAAGAAATACTATTACTAATGGAAGAACGACGAAGACACAAGAATGACCAAGATGCAGCAATATGTATGAAAACATTAACAGGCAAATAAAAGCAAAAATAAGAATAGCAAAAAATGAATGGCTTAAGCAACAATGTATCGATCTAGAACATTTACAACGACAGCACGACGACCATAATTTACATAACAAGCTTAAGGAGACTGCTGGAATATACAGAAAACGAAGACCAACTACCATAGTTAATCCGGATAACCAGATAGTGCTGGGTGAAAAGGAGAAAATTGATATATGGGAAAATTATATCCAGGAGCTCTTCCATGACGAAAGACCCATGAGTGAAGTTGATACAGACGACCAGCTGACTGGCCCTTCAATCACCAAAGAGGAGATAGAAAATGCAATATTAAATTCAAAAAACAATAAGGCACCTGGACCAGATGAAATCCCGTCAGAAATACTTAAATTACTAGATGAAAGGAGAATTTCAGCACTACACAAAATATTTAATTTAATTTATGAAACTGGCTGCTATCCTCAACAGTGGTTATACTCTACCTTTATTCCTCTGCCCAAGAAAGTCAATGCAAAAAGATGTAAGGATCACAGACTCATTAGCCTGATGAGTCACACTTTAAAGATATTCTTAAAAATACTACATCAAAGATTATACAAAAAATGTGAATGGGACATCAGTCATTCCCAGTTCGGGTTTAGGCAAGGTTTAGGAACACGAGAAGCAATAGTAGCAACACAGGTGCTGGTCCAAAATTGTTACGATCAGAGAAAGGATGTTATCCTATGCTTTTTAGATTACCAAAAAGCGTTTGATCGTGTCTGTCCAACACCACAAGTTAATGCAGATTCTCAAGAAAGTTGATATAGACCAAAAAGACATAAGATGCATTGAAAACTTGTACTGGCATCAAACGGCACAGTTAAAAATAAACAAGTCTATATCCAAACCCATACATATAAGAAGAGGCGTTCGACAGGGATGTTTTCTTTCCCCTCTTTTATTTAACATTTATTCGGAAGCCATATTTCAAGAGTCTTTGGAGGATGCAGAGATTGGAATCAAGGTGAATGGAGTATTGATCAACAACATACGATATGCTGATAATAGTGTCTTAATTTACGACAACATAGTCGATCTTTAACAACTTGTCACTATAATCGGAGAATACAGTAAGCGAATGGGATTAGAGATTAATACCAAAAAGACCAAATTTATGATCATTTCCAGAAACTTAGATGCACTTGAAAACTCCACCATAACACTAAATACTAAGTCCATTAAAAGAGTGAGTAAATTTAAATACCTGGCATCGTGGCTTTTTGAAGACTGGGCATCGGACAGAGAAATAAAATGTCGCATTGAGCAAGCTCGACAAGCTTTCGTAAAATTCAAGAAAGTACTGACTTGTGCAGAGTTTGATCTTCAACTGAGACTAAGGTTTACTAAGTGCTACGTATGGTCAGTGCTGCTATATGGCGTAGAATGCTGGACACTCAAAACGAGGGATATAAACAGATTAGAAGCTTTCGAAATGTGGCTTTATCGCCGTATCCTAAAAATACCATGAACAGCGAAAATCACAAATATAGATGTCCTTAAAAGAATAAACCAAGAACGCCAACTTTTCGAAACCATCAAGAAAAGGAAAAGGCGTATCTAGGTCACATCATGCGAAATGAAAAATACCAGTTCCTTCAACTTATAATCGAGGGTAAAACTGAAGGCAAGAGAGGAATGGGACGCAAGAAAATGTCCTGGCTCCGAAACATAAGGCAATGGACAGGGATTAACGACATACAATCTCTGATACATATTGCAAGAAATAGAGAATTAATGGAAAATGTGATCGCTAACATCCATTAGTGGATTTGCATCTGAAGAAGATGTGATCTAACCACCGCAGCTCGTTTATTTTGATGAACCTAATAATATCAGGTTTGTCATACAGGCGGTAAAGCGTCTACGCCATAATCCGCCCTCCTGTACTTCTCCATAGATATGCCGGAGGATTTTACGTTCAAAGCATCTTAAACGTTCTTCATCGCTCTTCGTCATCGTCCATGTTTTGTGACGCTTAGGTGAGTATGGGCTTGATAAGAGTTCTGTATGTCACTAGTTTCGTTCTTTTTGTAACTAGGCTTAACAATTTTTTAATCCATTATAGGCTCTATTTGCCAGATATATCCGTCTGTTAATGTCTGCACTTACTGCATTATTGTGATTAATTTGTGAGCCTAGGTATACAAACCCTCTTACTCCTTCAAAAGTATTTGTTCCAATCGTTAGATCTTCGGGTTGTGCTGCTTGTATATAATTTGATACTTTCATATACTTCGTCTTACTTGTGTTAACCTCTAGTCCCATTCTTTTTGTTGTTCCTTCATGCGCCTTGAATTATTCGACCACGTCAGCTTTTCTTCTTGTAATAATGTCGATGTCATCGGCGTACGCTATTAGTTGTACGCTGCGATTAATAATAGTTCCTCTGGTTGATATTCCAGATTCTTTTATCGCTTTCTCTAGTGAAATATTAAATTGAAGGCATGATAGGCTGTCTCCTTGTCTAAGTCCTATCTGATACAGGAACGTTCTGGAAGCTCCGTTCTGCACTATAACTTTAACTCAACTCTTGAGAGGATCGCTTTCACCAATTTTAGACCAATTTTACCAAGTGTACCAGTATGCTGAATTCTATCATGGCCTTGTACAGTGCGTTTCTTTTAACACTGTCATCTTCTTCTCTTCTTACGGTGCCTATCCGTTCCGGATGTTGGCGATCAACATGGCTATCCTAACTTTACTTGCTGCTATTCTAAATACTCCGGTTGTCGATGTATTAAACCACTTTCTCAGGTTTTGAAGCCAAGATATTCTTCTTCTCCCTCGTCCTCTCTTTCCAAATACCTTGCCCTGAAGAATGAGTTGCAACAAGCAGTATCTCTGTTCATTCCTCATAACATGGCCAAGATATTCTAGTTTGCGCTCTTTGATGGTGTTAATAATCTCGCATTCCTTGCCTATTCTATGTAGGACCTCAACATTAGTCACACGATCCACCCATGAAATTCTTAAGATACGTCTGTAACACCACATCTCGAATGCCTCGAGTTTTCTTAAGGAAACACTATCATAGGCACATCTAAAATTAACAAACAGGTGATGAGTATCGATGCCATACTCATATGTTTTTTTCCAGAGCTTGCCTTAGAACGAATATTTGATCGGTTGTTGATCTTTCTTTACGAAACCCACACTGATATTTACCTATTATGTCTTCAGAATATCCCGATAGTCGGTCGTAAACAAATTATGCCAATATTTTGTATGTTTCGTTTAGGAGTTTAATTATACCTACATTCCAGTCTTCTGGCAACTTTA